GTCAAAGTGCTTTTTTCTCTAAGATATATAGCTAGTAGTCAAATTGATGGATTTTATGATATTTCTATTTCCAGCTTTTAAAGGAAGTGCCGTACTATATTCCACAGTAATTGCACCAGTTTACAGTCTCACCAATGTGCAAGGTTTTCAATCTCTCCACGTTATCATCTGTTTTTGTTATTTATTTATTTATTTATTTTTACTTTGCTATTAATGCTGGTGTGAGATGATGTTTTCTTGTTTCAATTTACATCTGCCACTCCTCGGAAGGAAGGTTGGGCAATCTACTTCTGTAGTGATACCGCCTCAGAAACCCAAGAAGCAGTTGCTGTGAATTGGGTACGATTTGATGACACATAACAACAACAACAATGCCTTATGGCATTTGACTGCTAATCAGAAGGTTGGAGGTTCAAACCCACCAGCCACTCCATGGAAGGATGATGGAGCCATCTACTTTTGTAAAGATTTACTGCCTTGGAAACCCAATGGGGGGTGGCTATGAATCTAAATTAACTCGATGGTAGTGAGTTTGGTTTAGGTTTTTTAACATCTTATGATCATGAGAATTTCTACATGTGTTTGTTGGCCACCTGAATGTCTTCTTTGGTGAAGTGTCTGTTCACATCCTCTGCCCATCTTTTAACTGGATTATTTGTCTTTTTGTTGTTGAGGTGTTGAAGTTTTCTGAAAATTTTAGAGATTACCCCCTAAACTAACATGTTGGTGCCAAAATTTTTTCCCTCTAGATTCTCTTTTTACTCTTTTGGTGAAATCTTTTGATGTGCATAACTGTCTAATTTTTAGGAGCTCCCAGTCATCTATTTTGTCTTCTGGTGTTTGTATGTTTTTAGTTATATTTGATGATGCATTTATATCACGTATTAGGACCCCAAAATTTGTCCCTATTTTTTCTCAAGTGGTCTTTATAGTTTTAGGTTTTACATTTAGATATTTGTTCCATCTTGGGTTCATTTTTGTATATGGTCTCCTGTTATGAGTCTTATTTAATTTTTCTGCTAATGTGTATCCAGTTTTACCAGCACCATTTGTTAAAGAGACAATCTCTTCTCCATTTAATGAGCTTTGACCCTTTGTCAAAGATCAACTGTCCATAAATATAAGTATTTACTTCTGGGTTCTCTGTTCTGTTCCACTGGTCTATGCATCTGTCATTGTTTCACTATCATGACTATATATTAGGTTTTGAGATTGGAGAGTGTGAGGCTTCCTGTTTTGTTTTTCTTTAGTAGTGCTTATTTGGGGTCTCTTTCCTTTCCATATGAAGTTGGTGATTATTTTTTACATCTTTTTAATGAATAATGATGGAATTTGAATCAGGATTGTGTTGTATCTGTAGATTGCTTTAGGTGGTATTGACATTTTCTCTATGTCAAGTTTTCCTATCCATTAGCTTGGAATATTCTTCCATTTACATAGGGTTATTTTGGCTTCTTATAGGAGTTTTGGTGGCTTAGTGCCTAAGGCGCTTGACTGCTAACCAGAAGGCTGGAGGTTCAAACCCACCAGCCACTCCTCAGAAGGAAGATTGGACACTATACTTCAGTAGAGATACTGCCTCAGAAACTCAAGGAGGGGTCATTATGAGTTGGAGATGACTTGACAACACATAACAACACTTTTGGTTTCTTGTAGTAATGTTTTATAGTTTTCTTTGTATAGGTCTTTTGTGTCTCTGGATAGGTAGATTCCTAAGTACTTCATCTTTTGGGTAGTTATTACAAATTGTGTTGTTTTCCTGATTTCCATTTCAAAGTTCTCTTTATTAGTGTAAAGGAATCTGATTGATTTTTGTATATTGATTTTGTTCCTTGACACTTTTGCCGAATCTTTCAAACATTTTCAGTTATTTTCTTGCTGAGTCTTTATGATTTTCTATGTATAAGATCATATTATCTGGCATCAAGGTAGTTTTACTTCTTCTTTATCAATTTTGATACTTTTTATTTCCCTTTCTTGACTTATTGCTCTGGCTAAGAGTTCCAATACAATATAGAATAGGAGTGGTGAAAAAAGGGATCCTGCTGGTGGTACACATTCATAAGGGGAATGCTTTCAATCTTTCTCCTTTGAGAATGTTAGTTGTTGTTCTATGGATGCTGTCAATTATGTTAAGGAATTTTCTTTCTATTTCTCCTTTGTTCAGGGTTTTTATCAGGAATGCATGTTGGATTAAGTCAGTATGTTTTCATATTTATATATTCTCTCTGTTCATATCTCATTTGTTTTACTTATTATCCATTTGATAATACCATTTTTTAAGGGCCCAGCCTCTTATAGATCTGTTAATGGATATCAATGAAAAGATATTTTGCCTAAATCAGGTTCAGAAAATTACTTGGCAGTAGCAACCTGTGTGATGGGTTGAAGCATTAATTCAGTGTGAGACAACACAGAGAAAAAGAGATACCTGGGGTCAAATTAAAGACTGTTTGTAAAACTACTTCTTAATTGGAGATATTCCTTTTCTGAGTGCTCTGGGCTTCAGATTAATAGTATACATTGATTTCTTTCAGTCCCGTGATTCTAGGACTTATTTGATGGCATCATTTCTTCAATATAACCTGTAGCATGCATCCTAGACATCTTAGTTAGTTAAAAACTGTTCTGTTGAGAGAATGAAATGGGCAGTGTTAATGGGGAAACCAGCAGGTGTACTAACGGAGTTTTCATACTAATATGTTAGAAATGAAATTATAGGATTGTGAGTTAGGAAGAATTGGAGAGGGTATTAAAATTTCTAAGAGGGAATGTAAGAAAATGGTGTCCCTCTACAGAAGACATGGGGCTCTGGTGATGCAGTGACTAAGGCACTGGATTGCTAACCAAATAGCAGGAATGGTGGTTCAAATGCACCAGCCACTCTCTGAAAGGAAGATGGGGCAATCTACTTCTGTAAAGATCAATCACCTTGGAATCCCAATGAGTCAGAATAGAGTCAATGGCAGTGGGTAAGGTTTGTTTGTTTGTTTGTTTGTTTTTTCCCTATAGAAGACATTACATAAAAGAACACTAGCAATAAAAAGTTGCAATGAACTGGAAGGAAATTAAGATATGAAGCTTGACAATTGATCATTATCCCATTATCTTCTCTGTACTCCTTTTTTGCCTCTAACAGACCATGTGTCTTGAGCCATTCTTTCTTTTCTCTCCTTTTCCTGGACTGGATCCCAAGATTTCAAACATATAATCCTTTTCTAAATGTCTATCAGATAAATAGAAAAATAGAAAGCAAGAAATATGCAAATGGACCAATAAAGAAAAATAATATTGATTTACAGGTAATAGGTAAACAAATTTTGTATAAGTCTGAAACAGCCATGATTGAGAACCACCCTTCAAGAAAAGGTCAAAATAAATAGTTGGGTATACTATAACATTCGGCTTCTGGTTTTTGAAGTAAATGTCCATTTCATATGCTTTCAGAGAACTAAGAATGGCAAAGGAGAGGCTCTAGTATACTAAATACTTAGAAAACTCTAGAGGATTGGAATGATGTGAGGTTTTGTTGTCTTCCTTTATAGAAAATTAACAGAGGAGAAGCTAACACCATATGGCTAGAACAAAAGATCTATATTATCTAGCTAGCTATCTAGCTAGCTATCTTTTATCTATCAATCTATCATAATCTATCTCTGTATCATCTATCAATCTATCATCATCTCTCTTTCTGTCATTTGTCATCAGTCTATCCCATGAGACTAACACCAGGAGTACAGAGAAGATAATGGGATAATAATCAATTGTCAGCACTTCAGAAAACAGTAGTGCCAGTTCAGAAGATCCTTGGTTTTATATAAAATTAAGCAGGTCCCCATCATAAGTGAAGCATGACTAAAATATGCAGGGTATATTCTCCCTACTTGAGAATTATCATTGCCTACCAGAGTTTGTTTCTTTGTGAGGATAATGGGGCATATAACTCCATGAGTTATGCCATTATGCTTTTCACCTCCCAGCCCTGTCAGAAGACCTGATCCTACCACTGAGTAAGCCCTCGTAACTTGCATTCATCCACACATCATATTCTTTATCACAGAAAAGTCAGACTGAAGGCAACAGGAGAAGATTCACTCTAGTATTCAAGTAATCTGAGATAAAATACTTTGTGACAAAGTTAGGAAATCTCGTAAAAAAAAATTGTCTAAGATGCCAACCCATCCCTCTTTGTGTTTTAAGGGTATAATGCTGATGGAGTCATTGATACAGGGAAAAGGAAACTGAGCAACTTCTGAGGTGGGTGATGTTATGTTCTGTTACTTCTCAGGTAACAGGAAATTGTTTTAATGCAAGAGTAGAGGATATTTACCTTCATTCCCAGGAAAATTGGCCAGAAATGGGTCTCTGGTACAAGGACTGGAGATGTGGAAACACTTAGGCATTAATATGGATCCCATCTAAAAGGACCTCCTGCAAAGAGCAGTTGTACTTGAGGTGCTGCAATGCTCTCCATAAGGTGCACTCACTGTGTTCCTTAATGTCCATCCCTGAACAATAATTCAATTAGTGCCTTTGTGGAACTTGGTACATGTCCATGGCCACTCTTAAACCATTATCAACATAGACTTATAAAAAAATTGTTTTCATCTTCAGCTAGCCCTATGCCAGAGGCTGACAAACTATGGCCTGTGGGTCAAATCCTACCTGTCATCTGTTGTTTTAAATAAAGTTTTATTGGAACATAACAATATCTATTTAAATATATATATTGCATATGGCTGATTTTAAGCTACAATTGCAGTGCTGAGTATTTCTTATAGAAGCTATTTGACCTCAAAGCCTAAAATAATCATCACTTAGAGAAAAATTTCCAATCTTTTCTCTATGAGACTAAAGAAGATGTCACAGGTTCATATCAATTGGAATTGTTTTCCAGACATCTTTATAGCAGAAATATTCTTACAAGTGACATGAATATTTATTTTAAAAATTATTTTAATACCCAGATTAGGAGAAAATAAATTTTACCCTCTAGTAGACTAGTGACTTCCTTCTGAAACAAAATGACCCCCAGCCAGTCTCTTCAGGGCTCCCTTAACATCTTTGTTCCTCAGAGTGTATATTGTGGGGTTCAGCATGGGAGTGACTACATTGCCAAAGATCTGCACTGGGGTTACCAGCACCTCACTCAAGGATGGCTGAGTATAGATGAGGGCACAGGGCCCAAAAAACAATGTGACCACTGAAAGGTGGGAAACACAGGTAGATGCTGCCTTGCGTCTCCCTTCAGCAGAGTGCATCTTCAAGATTGCAATGACAATGCGGATGTAGGAGGCAAGGATGAGGAGAAAGCAGGTCATGGGCACAAGGCCAATATTGGTGAAGCTCACAATCTCAATGATAATGGTGTTCCCACAGGCCAATTTGACTACAGGGAAGATGTCACAAAAGAAATAGTCCACTTCATTTGATCCACAATATGGCAGTTGGAAAGTCAATGTGGTAAGAATTGTAGCATGAAAAGAGCTAGTAAACCAGGTGCCAGCAGCCAATACAGCACATACTCGGCGGTTCATGATTATGGTATAACGCAGTGGGTGGCAGATGGCAGCAAACCTGTCATAGGCCATCACTGTATAAAGCAGGCACTCAGTGCTGCCTAAAAAGTGGTAGAAAAAGACCTGGGACATACAGCCACCCAGGGAAATGACTCGGTTCCTCACTAGCAGGTTGACCAACATCTTTGGGGTGCTCACGGAAGAGAAGCCAATGTCCAGCACTGAGAGGTTACAAAGAAAGAAATACATAGGAGTATGGAGGCGGGAATCAGACATAACAGCCAGAAGGATGAGCAGATTTCCCAGCAAAGTGCAGAGGTAGAAGATCAGGAAAACAACAAAGAGCACAGTTTCCTGCCCCTCTGTGTGTGGGATGCCCAGTAGGATGAATTCTGTTACCAAAGTGTGATTCTTTATCGCCATAGAAGTTTGCTTTTATCCTGGAAAGGGGGAAAGTGACAGTAAGTTACTGACCCAAGGAACCAATTTCCACTCCTTGGCACCTTTCCCATTAATCATGCCAGGATTGAAAAAAATGTGATACAATCAGTAAATTCACAAGGAGAAAGGAAATCACAGTTCCTACTAATGAAGGGCTATTTATTTAATTATGACTCAGGCTACAGAACAAGGAAATATCTTCAGAAGGAGATGCAGTATGTTATGGTGAAATCTGAATGCAGGTAACTTGACTGGCAAATAGATTTTACTTTACTGTCATTAGTACAAAAAATAGCAAATGACAAGAAAAATAGAAATGCTGAGGATTGAGAAAGGGAAGGAAAGGAAAAGGAAATAGAGAAAAAATAAAAAGATGGCAGAAAATTTCAGTTTTCATAGAATTTTCATAACCATTTTCTAATTAAACCTTATAGAATCCTGAAAGGTGGGAAACACAGGTAGATGCTGCCTTGTGTCTCCCTTCAGCAGAGCGCATCTTCAAGATTGCAATGACAATGCGGATGTAGGAGGCAAGGATGAGGATGTAAAATAAATAGGATTGTTTCCATCTCATAGGTAATAAAGAAATTATGGATCCAGGAAGTTAAATTCTTTGCTCATATTCTCATATACAGTGTGGCAGGATTAGAATTTGAAACCAAGGATTCTAAATCCATTATACCTTAATTAGGAAAGAAGAGAAAAGAACTATGGTCATGTGGATAGAAGGAAAATAAATGTACTCTGTACTGAAAGAAAGGTTATTTAGTTCAATTATTCATTCTTTTATTTCCACATCCTTGCAAAGTGCCTGGCTAGTCTACACACAATTACTTTAAATGATGGGGAAATTTAGAGTTCTCAGAACATATTATTCTATCTTTACAAAACCCTGATTTTTTTCTTTTTTTTCTTTTTGCTTTTGTTGTTGGTGGTGGTGGTTGTGTATGTATTAAGGTAAATTCTATTTCACTGCAACTCTTAACCATTAGTCTTGGATTTATTCCTTCGAAATATAATAAACAAGGTTTCTGCCATATGAAAAATCATCAGAAATTAGAAGGCTGCTTTGGACCAAACATGTACTGTTTCTCCAATGCTATTTAAATGGCTTGGCTTTGAGTTCCTCAATGATAGTACTTGTATTAGCCCTATACTTTTTGTCTGCTATTGTTTCACATTGCAGACTAAATTATACAATGAGGAATGATAGCACTGAGTCCCTTACTCTTCCTGTTAGTGTACTCTAATATCTCATGAGCCTTCAAAGTAACTTTCATAACAATGTAGTCTCAAGTGAAACTTTGTTACATGTAAAACTATAAGGAAGTTTTCGCACTATCTTCACTAGTTAATGCTGGGAACATTATTGGTTGTTTTGCTTATTTCTATAAAAGACAGGTCCTCATAAAAGTCATCTATAGATAGCTACACCATTTAATCTTTTTGATATGTGCCCATCTCTCAAGTCTATCAAACCATCTTGTTGGATTTTGACTCTCTCATTCAATATACATACTCTTCTTTGAAACATAATAACATTTGAACCATAATGTCTGCTAGTTTCCAACTTTAAGTCTTTGTAACCATAGTAGCATTTTGTTTTTGAAAGAAAGAGGTAAAAGAATCTGTCTAAAATGATAGCAATTATTATTTACTAAAATAAATATAAATATTCTACATTCTTTCCCTGTTCTGAATAGGAAGGAGATCTAGACTATTTTTAATGATCCTTTCAACTCAACTATTAAAAAAATAAAAAATTAAAAAATAGAGGATGATGCTCTATTCAAAGCCTCGGCATAGATAAAGCAAGTCCCTAAAGAGACAGAATATTTCATAATATTCTAGTGAGTTGTCCTGCTCCAAAAAGGGTTAAGAAAAAAAACAAATCCCATGACTTAACCCAGAAAAGAATATTACATGCTTATGAATATACGTGAACTCAGTTGCATTTAACATAGTAAATAATTTTTTCACATGTAGAAGGAAAATGACCACTAAATGAAAAACACGATTAATATATGGAATAAATCAAAATAATAGATTATTGGCTTTTGCAAAATCCATCAGATCCATACCTTTGTGCTTTTCTTCCCTGTTGTATCAGGAAGTAATGAGACATCCAAAATATTTAAGATTAAATAGACCAAAAGAGATCACTTTGACCATGTCCTTTTTGGTGATTCAATTAGATTTTTTGTTCTTGAAATTTTGTATAAGAAAACAATCTACTGATTCTATAGATTTAAAAGGTGAGAAAGGGAGAGGTTATCAAATCACAGATGAGGGATTATATTCTCAATAAAGCAAAATTAGAAAAAAATTAGGTATTAGTCAGAAAAAAATATTTCAGTGCCCATTATGTTAAGTTGTTCCCTTCATTCAATAAATATACATTGATTGTATACTGTGACCAGAAACCATAAGAGATGCTGAAATATCAATGTTAATAATTCTTAGACTCTATCAAGAAGGAGCTCTGGTGGTGCGGTGCCTAAGGTATTTGACTACAAACCAGAAGGCTGGCAGTTCAAATCCAACAGTCACTCCATGGAAGGAAGATGGAGCAATCTACTTCTGTAAAATTTTGCCACCTCTGAAACTCAGTGAGGGTTGCTATGAGTCAGAATAGACTCAGTGGCAGTGTGTTTTTGATATCAAGAAATACACAGAGTGGTGGAAAAAATGAAATGCAAGTTAAATAGGCATGGTTCAGTATTGAACCATGGTTCAGTATTTTATAGTATTAAAGTTATGTGTATGGTATAGTTAGGAAATTATTAATACTTTGTGTGGGTTTTTGAAATTTTTACAAAGGAGGAAAATAGCTAGGGTCTGTGCTTTGAGAGGTCCTAGATGTGGAGATTTGGCTTTAGTCAATGAGGCAAAATAATAAGCTTCATATTTTAGATCACTGACTTTAAAAGCAAAGTATATGATGCTTTACAAGATGAATAGTGTGCAGCTAGGGAAATAAACAAGAAATCTAAAGCAATAAGCCAATCCAGGGAGGAAGAAATTATCAATTCACATACACTTAGGAAGTAGAATTGATATCCTCATAAATAATTGGAGCACCTGGCTGGTGCAAAGTTAATCTCCTCTACTGCTAATGGAATGGTAGAAGTTTTGGTCCTCCCAGAGGGGCTTCAGAAGAAAAGTCTGGAGATCTGCTTCAAAACAGACATTGCAAACCCTTGGACCACAGTTCTACTCTGACACAGGGTGGCCAAGAAGAAGAATTGACTCAATGGCAAATGCAAAAGAAAGAAAAAGTAAATAATTGGATGTGAAAGAAGGAGGACAGAGTGAGGAGATAAACTAATCTAACTTGAAAAATTAGATGGAGAGGAGTGCTGTTATATGAGAGACAGGTGGAATTCAGTGAATTAAGAAATGAATATCTAGCTTTTGTTCCAAGGTAAATAATAAGATTGCTTTTGTAACTGTTGGCTTTGAAGAACCTATAAACTAACCAAGTAGTGATGACCAAACCACAGTTGGATATCATGACTCTGAAACAAATGGTAGGAGTCCACGAAAAACATGGAAGTAACTCAGATTACTTCAAGGGTGCATGAAGAAGTAGAAAAATACTGAGGAAAGAACATGAAAGAACATCTGGGAGTGCTTAAGAAGTCTTGGGAGATCTGAGTCCTCCTTTCTTTCAGCTTTTTCAGATTAGTTTGTACCACAGATGCACTGTTAAACTCAGTGTATTTTTTTAAAATATTAAATATATATATGTGTGTGTGTGTGTGTGTGTGTGTGTGTATATATATATATATGAACTCACTCTGAGTGTAGCTATATATAAGTTTATTTAAAATCTATTTAATTCTTCCTAAAAATCATCTGTAGTGGGTTTTATCATTGTCCCTAACTTGTGAAAAGAATTAATTGAGACATAGAAAGATTAAGTAACTTGACTGTGGTCATCAGACAGTAATTGATGGCTCCAAATAAAATTAGAGACACTAGTAAAATCTTTGATAAGCATAAGTCATAGGATGACAATGGTTTGTTTTAGGATATTGTTTTGGTTACCTAGTGCCACTCTGACAGGAATATACCACAAATGGGTGGGATTGAACAAACAGGAGTTTTATTCTCTTGAAGTTTGGGAGGCTAGAAGTCTGAGTTTAAGATGCCAGACTCTAGGGGCTGGGTGAAAGCCCCTTGACTTTGGGTTTCAGCTCTGCTTCTTGCTCCCAGCCCACTGAAGCTGGAGGCTTTCTTCACTCAGGCAGCTGCTGGCTGCTGAGGCTGACAAACCCAAGGTTGACAAGTAAAAAGGCACAATCCCGATGTTACCAAACAACATGGCAGGCCATTGATTCAAGTCCATTTAAAGTCCCAAGATTGGAAGAGCATGACAGGCTACTGAACAATGACTTGGCTACATGCAGGGTTCAAGTGTGTCATCAGCTAGAGACCATACCCAAAGCTGCGTCTTATATATGGGAAGCAGACCACATCCCTAAAGCAGTTACTCAGCTGTTTGTGGTAGATGCCACCATGGAGTTGATTGCCAGTCTCATCATACGGAATAACTACCACCAGCTGCCCAGCCACTCAACCAGGCCTACCCAAGTTGACACACAACCTTAACTACTACAGATATGATATTTTCTGAGTGGTTTGGAGCCTTACTGTAGGTCCCAAGTATCCCTGCATATGTGGTTTCATAGGATGTGTCAAATATTTAGCTGGATGTAGACAGTATCAGAGTATTGTTGCATTTAATTCCAGAAAAAGACTCTTCAAGAAATACTAGTCATTTAAAATTTGAAAGAATGATTCTCCAGGAACACGAACTCTATGTATGGTGAGATGGTGGCTTTAACTCTCTTCTGTTCAGCAAATACCAAGATTTATGAAAACAATTATGATAGGGGACATTAAATATCTCAGGAACCAACATCTGAAACTTCCAGTGATTAATGCTTTGGCACAATTCCTTAACTTTAGATATGATT